CCCCCCCCCCCCCCCCCTCTCTGCTCTCACACACCATCACCAGTCTGTCTCTCGGTGCTCCCATGTCGGGTTATCGGTACGTTGCACTGCTGTGCTGTAATCATTCCGTTCGCTTTGTTGTGCCAATTTTTCTGCGCTCTTCCTTCATGCAGTCATCTCACTCTGCGTCGCTTGCTCGCGGAACCTTTCGCCCTTTTCCTCTGCTCTCCATCGATCGATACCCACATGACACTGTATGTCAGTCTCTCTCTTCCCTCTTATACACCAGCCTGTGTCTCGGCTCTCACATGTCGTATGCATAATCTTCATTACTTCCACCTCTCATCCCATCCTGGATCTTTAGAGTTTTCTGGTACTTTCTGTTCCTTGGTCGTTCCGCCACGGTTCTCACATTCCAAAAATACTTCACTGGTGGTTCTGTCGGGCCTGCTCGTGGAAACCGGACGAACCCGGGTATTAGCGGACGCCTCAATCGATCTGGCGCGGTTGAAGGTTCAGACCGCTCTCGGCGGGCCCGCTTATCATCTCCATCTCGAGCGGACACTACATACAATACAGCGAGCGGTACACGGCCAACACTTTTTTTTTCTCGTTTTTTCACATAATCAGCGGCACTTGTTTCTGAATCTCCGCGCTCTCCGTGATCTCTCTTGCCCATTTAGCGTAAACTATGAGCTGTTGGTGACGGCAGCATAGCAGTCCAGTAGCTCGAACGATTTGGTCGGTTTGTTACTCAATCTTGTTTCTCTCGTTGGGGGCGCTCATCTCATCGCAGCTATGTGGCTCACGTACTACGTTTGTTTGGCACACCACAGCAGTCCATATATGCTTGGCCGAGCAACCATATTAATTAAGCTCCGCGCGCCGCATGACATTTGGAACTCTGTGTGCCGCGCTACAGCTTGCTGCTGCAACGCATACGGATATCTACCATCTACTCAACTGACTGATTATACACGATGAACCACGCGAGTAGACGCCGGGCGCACTTCTGGCGTTGAGGTCGAGGTTATAGAGCGGGGCTGCGAAAGTCGCTAGCACCATCACTCTCCGTTCGCTAATGCATATTTCATTTTGATGCTTTGTTAGATACTACTGCTGCCGTATGGCATGAATCGAGCGCGCCCTCTTTCTGCACCGATCCGTATATATTCTCATTTTAGTAATAAATACTTAGTGCCGCGAATATTGAGTACCATTTATCGCGTATCTTGGAATCGATCTATTGAGCAGGGCGGCGAAAGCCACCAGACCACTTGCAAACTACATAAGCCCACCAGGCCAGCGCCTCAACGTCGACAAACCCAAATCTACTTACAATCACCCCCACAGATATCGGAAGAGCACAAGCCAACCAAGGCCAGGGAATCAACCGAAACAAACCCAAATCGACGTATAGTCACCCCCACACATCGACACGATTCTACATGCAACAGGACTCTACTCACCGGCGCAGGTCCGTCGATGGCGTAGTACAAGCACGTGCTCGACCTCCCCGTGCTGGGCGACGCTCCCCCGCCGAGAGCGGCCTCCTCCCCCAGCAATTCCGCGGCGACGGGGGCCTCGGTGGCCACCACCGCCGCGTGCGCCAGCAGCTCGCTGCCGTCCTCGAGGGTAAGCCTCACCCTAGGGGAGCCGTCGAACGACCCCGAGTAGGGGAGGAGGGCGTCCCCCTCGCCCTCGTCGTCATCGTAGTCGTCCTCCTCGATCTTGTCCAAGGACACCACTTTCGTGTTCAGCAGCAGGCACCCTGCCCATGGCGAGAGCACACGGTGGGCGGACGGGCCGAGGAGAGTGCTTGCAGGCGGGGAGCGGAGAATGTTGGTTCGCGAATAGAGAAAAGCGCTCGGCGAGGTTTCGACATCAAGCGGCGAGGGAATGGTCTCCCGGCATGGCCTCGAAACCGCTGTGAAACAACAGGACTGACAAGCGCACACCTGCTTACTGTACATAGGGCTGTGTATAACAACGCCGAAAACAACAGCTGAAGGATCCCATGAAAATTGATGCTGCAACGACCGTGTTTCGCGTGTCAGAGCGCAAATATTCCGACGTACGCAAGACGAACTTGCAATCTATCTATATACCATCGCCCGTTTGTGGCACACTGTCATGAAGGACCAAGACCAAGCACCCCTTACCGTCGGGCAAATCGGCGGCTATTTGCTTGGGCACCTCTCCCATGCCCCCCTCGGGCAGAGAGGCGGACCCCACCGAGAACATCTTGAAGACGAAGTTGAAGAGAAGGGACGACTGCTCCTCAAGGGGAGAAAGAAAGATGCCCTGATGATGACGACGACGATAGTGGTAACGGTGACGGTGGTGGTCCGAGTCAGTCATTTTCCCACCGAAGCAAAAGAGAGGAGAATGAAGGGAAGGGAGTTGAGAGGAACTTGATTACCATGCCGCTGCGTGCCAGTTGTACCAGGGCGAGAGAGCAAGGGGGCATGACAGAGTACTACGGAGTCAAACGAAACAAGTCGTTCACAATAACAATTATAGCATTTATCTTTTTGCCCACAGGCCTGCGTGCGAACCACCACGCTTTCTGCGCAATTTCTGTCGGGCGCTGTGAGCGCAGCAGGCTTTTCACTTGGTTTCAGTATGCAAATCACTCCGAAATCGGCCCAGAAAACGGCTCTCGATCGCCCTCGTGCCTCCGTTTCAAAGTGCGTGTTTTCGTCGCCCGGGGGCCGTTTTGCGGTCCGGTTGGCGGTGGACGCTGCCACTTACCGCTCCTGCGACCCATATCGGTGCTGCGCGCGGGCTTTCTTATCCCGCGTTTCTCTCTCTCCGAGACCCGCTCTGCTCTCACATCGGCAAAGGTGGGTCTTTTTTTCGTGGGCTTTTTTTGGTCTCTCGCTCGCTCTCACATCGGCAACGGTGGGTCTTTTTTTTTTCGTGTGCAGACCACTCCGGGAGGGAACACAACAATTTCATCCGTCTTTTTTTTTTTTTCCATCGCTGCTGCTGTACAGCTTCGTGTCTCTCTCCTTCCTATGTCTCTCGCTCCCATTGGGCGCTACTTTCTTCCGTTCCT